ATCAAGAGGAAGGTGCCATCCTCATCCTAGCTGCAGCTTTTCAGGGCAAGGAGGCAGCTCAGACCACCCTGCTCTTAGCAGAGAGATTTTTAGGGGGAGAGCAGTGGAAGCCAGCCTGCAGCCCAAGACTGGCTACAAGGCAAGGCACTTTTTTATTACTTTTGGGGGGGGGGTGCAGTTATTTCATTGATCCTGAGGCAATCCCAAAGCTCACCCCAAGCTAAAACATGCAGCAGGCAACTCTGGTGCCTGCAACATCGCCATAAACCCCAGTTTCTGCCCACCTGCCCCCTACCCCTAGCAGCGTGGAAAGCAGCTTTCCCTGCCTCCTGCTCAGGGTTGGCAGCAACTCAGAGCACAACGAGGTGGGCGAGGGGGATCTGCAGCCCCTTCCACCCAAATTCACTGCAAGCAAGGCCATGGGGGTGGGAGTGGAGGCTGCAAATTTGCTCCCCACCCCTCCAATTCCAAGCCACAGCATCCTCACATGCCTCGTGAGGTGCCACTAGTGTTGCATTTCTGTCTCCCCTCCCCAACCCCGCAATTAAAGAGATGAGTATGGGGGTTTTGGTGGTGTTTAACACAGAGCAACAGCCTTAAAAGTCTCAAAATTCAAGGAAACAGTAACTGGAAGCATTTCCCTTAGGCGGTCGCAGTCGTCCGGCCCAAAAATCTGGAAGAAAAGAGGTGGGAAGCGACACCCCGTTGTCCTGCTGCAAAGTTCTCCCTCTTCTGTGGAATTTTTTTTTTCTTTTTTAAAATGAGGGCTCTCCCAGAGAAGACCCGGGGCTAAAGGCAGCTCTGGAAGCCCCACGAGCATCCGCAGGGACCGTGGCCAGGTCCCCATGGTGGGGACCCCCAACGCCCCAAAACAGATTTCGGGTCTCGACGGTAGCAAAAAGGCTAAAACCTGGTGCACTTACCCCGTGCGGTGGGGAATCTGAAAAGAAAAGGAGGCAGGGGAAGGGTGGGTGGAAGTGGTTTGCAATGCAAATCTGCCTCGCCCCGACCGGCTCGTCTCCCTACAAGCGGAAAGATACGGGTGGGTAAAAATTTTCATGGAGTGCCCAAAGCGGTTCGGGAGCCTCCCGAGTCCCCGTCAGCCGGCCGTCAGCGAGGGTCGGGCTCCCGAATCGCCCCGGGGGGGGCTATGGAAAGTTTTACCTGGTGTTTTATATCCCTGGAGGCGGGAAGAAAGACCCTTACCTCCGCGGTGGATGATCAGCAGGTGACACGGAGGCGCCTCTTTGGTGCATTTGTTGTGGCACTTGAGCCTGGCAGGGAAGAGAGACAAGAGAGGCGTGAGGAGGGATGTGGTTTAATCGAGGACTCTTCAGTGTTGGGTTAATGGTTGGACTTGGTCTTAGAAGTCTTTTCCAACCTTAATGACTTTATGATTCATTCTATGATTCATTCTGTGATTCTGTGATTCTATGATTCTATGATTCTATGATTCTATGATGAGGAGCCTCTCTCCACCCAGCAAGGTGACTCGATGGGATATTTCGGTTGTGCCCAGCCCTTGGGTGCTCCCATGGGCAAAACCCATCCCAGATCCCGCTCGGAAAGACCTGTGATTCCTCCCCACCACGCCCCGGGGATGAGAAGCAGCACAGGATGCACGTCCCAAAGTGCCGGGGCGGGTGGTTGTAGGGGAATCTGCGCCAATGGGACCCCAATTAAAGGTTGAGGGGGGCAGCTCCCTGCTTTGTGCACCCACCAGCCAGCTTGAGGATGCCCCAGATCATCATTTCTGCCAGCTTCAGCCAAAATAAATGGAACAAAGACCCACCATCACCCAGCGCTAAGGCTGCTTCATGTGTAATTAAATTCAGGGGTAGCGCAGGGGAAGGAAGTGCCTGCCCCGACCCTCTTTGGCAACCGATGAATCTGTGCTGTTGTGCCCTCCCCTCGTAGCTTTGTTACCAGGACTTTTTAACAAAAAAAAATAATGAGAGCATTTATGGCTAACGCTGAGTATTCTGAAGAGCTTTGCCTAGTTTCGCAGAGCCGGGGGAAGGAGCCCGTGGAAGGTTTCACACTTTGGCCCCCAGGTGATGCCCGTAAGGCTCCCATCGCCCCAAAACCTTTTGGTCTTAATTAGGGATGAGAACGAGTCCCCCGCTCACACCCCGCTGCAGCAGCCCTGGCAGAGCCATGGGGGGAAAAGGGCAAAGAAGAGGAAAGGATTGTTAAAAAAAAAGGTTAAAAAAAAGGAAGGTAAAGGATGAAAAAAGCTAAGAAAAAAAAAGACGGCAGCTACAAGTCAGTGAGCTGGGTAATGAAAATTCAGGAGCCGTGCGTGTTAGCTTTTATTACAAAGCCATTCCTAGAGGGAAAGGCAGAGATTAATTTGGTATTCGAGGCTTTGGCGGGGGTTGTTTTACCTGCTTGTTCCCCTCCTGTTTCTGGGGGAAGCAGCGCCAGTGCCAGGTAGCTACAGCGAAGCCGGCAAACCTAACTGCCTTGTGTTCAAACCCTAACTTTCTACAACCAGAGAATTTATTTTCTCTTTTCTGAGCTACTCCAGAATCGTGGGAGCAGGTCCCAGCATCCCTCATCCCACCGGAGCAGGCAGGGTGTGCAGGCACAGAAATCAACAGGAATTTCCACTTTAAAAATATATATATATATATATTTGATGATATCGCTTCCAGAAAGCCATTGCCTGCTGCAGAGTAACCAGGCATTTCTTGTGCAGGTTTAAATCCCAATTTGCTAACTCATCTCTACTTAATCAACGGCAAAAGCGATCGCTATCACTTCCTAGCTCTGGCTAACTCCGTTACCAGTGTATTCCCAGCACCCATCCACTAGAAAAGTCAATAGTTTCTGCAGAAGCAGCTTTTCAAAGCTTTGATGGCTGCACAATCCCATCTAAGAGCTGGGCTATGCTGGATTTAAAGGAGTAAAACCAGTCTCAGCCTCTACCTCCCTCATTTCTTTCCCCTCCTGCCCAATTTTAGGGCCGGCACAGCCCCTTCTCTGCGGTTTAATTGCAGTTTGGGGTTGGGTCCTTGAGTGCCACGACGTTACAAGGAAATAGAGGGTTGCAAGATGTTGTTCTGATGCAAAAACCAGAGAATACAGCCCAAAGCTGTGGGTAAAAAATCCACCTGGTGCCTAGAGCTACCCCACACGCAGGTGGTTCTCTCAGACCCCGGCCAGCTCATCCATCCCCCCATCTCCTGCAGGTAATTCGGCACGTAATCCTATATCTAATCTAAAGCCAGGCCAAGGAGAGCAGTGTGCAGGGAGGCTGTTGGGATCTGACTGGGAGCTCTGGGGTGAGCATCTTCCCCGAGGACTCCACTCCCATCCTCGGCATGCAGACCCAACCTCAGCCCAATCTGGTTCTTCACCCAATTTCATGTCTCATTCAAGCTTCCTGAAAGGATGAGCTGGCAAGAGGCTGATGGATCTCCCCGTGCCCGAGACTAACAAAAAAACAGCAAACCCCTAATGATCCCCCCTCGCCACGTTAAGGAGCGACTCAAGCGGCTCCGCTGCCGCCCCGTACTTGCAGTTTTTGCATTTTAAGCCAAACAACATTCCCTTCCCACAGACGGTGCAGGTCTGAGACATCCAGTACTTGGTGGAAAACCTGCGGAGAGAAACACGGAGAGTGGGCAGGGAGAGACGAAGCTACGCCCGCCCCATCCCTGCTCCTGCAGGAGCATCTCTTGAGCCATGCTCATCTACCAAGCCCTGATTTCTCCTTTCCTTGCCGCCTTCAAAAACCGCTGCAGGTGTTGAGGCGTCTTTCTAAAGATGCCAAATCCCAAATCTAAGTCCCCTTTTTGGTTATGCAGAAGTGCAGAATCTGCCTCAAAGAGGGTTCAAGTCAGCCGGGGTGGGCATTAGCCACCAGCTTGCTGCTGCTTCGCCCCAACCCCAGCTTTGCCTGGAGCCCCCAAAACACCTCCCTGCCCTGGAGAGCTGAGTTTCCAGCCCTTTGGAGAAGTGGCTGCCCCACCGAATAGCAGCACCGAGGCTATTTCCAGCAATTTTCCTTCTCGAGGGAGGTACGGAAGGGCAATAATGCGGAGATGGGGAATTTGCTGAAGGTTGATGAGGTCGCAGCTTTTATCGATAGCGCCTCGAGCCTTATCGAAAGCAAATCTGAACCGAAATGGAATTTAAATGGGCTTCTAGATAGCATAGAAAGGAGAGGGAACAGCCCTGAACCTCCCATCCCGGAGCAGAGATGGAAAGGGAGATGCTCATTGTGCAGGGTGGGGGAATGTTGGGAATATTCACATCCCTCCCTGGTGCAGGGCTGCCCTACCTGTGTTTTATCGAGTTTCCGAGATCTCGACGGGGGATCTGCGGGGACCAGCGAGGCACTGACAGCGTATCTGCGGGAAGAGGAGAGACGGGGAAAAGCGTCAGGTGGTGATGGAGGCAAGAGCCGGAGTTCGAGGTTTTGGAAAAGAGAGGAACCCACAGAAAAAAATGGAGTTTTCCTGATGTTTCCCCTTCGAAATGCCCCACAGGCAAGCTGACAAGAAAGGAAAAATGAAGCCAAAATGGCAAATTTGTTAATAAGACATCACGGCTGCACAAAAATCCGCCTGGAAGGCAACTTAACTTGCAGTCAAATGGAAGAATAAAGTCAGAAGTGGTCTTGGCGCTCTCCTTCTAGGGAAAAAGGAGGGAAAAAGGAGGGAGAAAGGGTAATGGGACCTTGGCTGGGTAAGGAAAAAGAGATAAATTCATTAGCAGGCAGGTAATTAGCTGTATGGCTGTGCTGTGACCTGCTCCGAACTCCACGTTCCCCTTCAGCCTCAGCAAGGGCAGAGACTCTCCTCCTCCTCCTGCCACCAGAAAGGGGCTGCCCCTGGGATGCTCAGCCCCGATGAGGGTCAGTGGTGGGGATTCAAGGGCTGGATTTTCGATAAAGGGTTTTGAGAGGTTTCCCGGGCAGAAGGAAGCAGAGCCCAGCTGCGAGCGCGGCCGTTTGCTCGGTAACGCCAGCAAATCCCTCGCTAAATACACTTTCCAATATTATCCCTCCGAGCGGGGAGAACCGCTGTTTGCTTTAATATCCCATTTTAATATAGCGGGCGGCAGGGCTTTTTAATTGCGCTCTCCTTCTGAAGGTTACATTTCCATGCCGCTTCCCGTGCGACGGGGCCGTGAAAAAGTCTCGGGAGCATCCAAAAAAACGCATCCACCCCCAGTTCCTCCTGCCAGCTTCGGCTCCTTCTCTCACTTTTCCACCTCAGCCCCCATCACCCCTCAGGAGCCAGGAATTAGGATGTTGAAAGGCCAACAAAGTCAATTAAGGTAATTGCTGCCCCTAACCGCGGCTTTGCTGTGTTACACTAATATTTTAAACCCCATCCTTTGAGATAACCCAACCCCAGGACTCCTGGACCAGCCTCGCTCCTGCTATCCCAATATCTGCCACCTCCCAGGGATGCCCACAAGCCCCAGAGATGATGCTCTGAAAAGCAGAACCACCCCAGGTGCCAGCACCAGCCCCTCCCTAAACATCATTTTCCCATCAGTAAATCCCTCACACAAAAAAAAAAATCACGCACATTTTCCAGTAAATCACACACAAGTAAGTTCCCCCCTCCACTCCGGTCCTTGATGAATTAAACACCTGGGTGAGAACGGCTCCTCTCCCAGAATTAAATTACAACCTCCGCTTTATCAGCCACAATTTATTTCCACTAACTTTTAGCTGGCCTCAATTAAATCCTGCCGTCCTGGGGAGGCAGGGGAAGAAGGGACGTTAAGTAAAGGCGGCCGAGCTTTTTAATTACTTTCTAAATGCGCTCGCTGCAAAACTGTATTAAAAGTGTGTCAGGGATTTTAACCTCCCACCAGAAATGAGACCTACGTGATTCACGGCTAATTATGCTCGTTAGAGGGAGCGATACGTGGAAGGATCACGGGCGTTTAACAGAAGACCTGCTGTTCGCAGGAGGGAAGACAAGCAGAGAGGGGCAGGAGGGCAGGGGAAGGTACCCCACTGCCACCCCTAGGGCTTTTGGGGGGAGGCTTTGAGGTTAATTGGTGATTCTCCCCTTTAACCTGTGCTGGTTCAAAAGGAAAAGTTGGTTCTCCCCATGCAACGTCAAATTGGGGCGATGCCTGTAGGGAAGGTGGAGATGCAGCAGCCTCCTTGCCCGTCAAGAGGGGGAATATTCTCCTCAAAAAATTGCCACAATTAGAGGGAATTTGCAAGAATTAGCTGAGCAGAGCAGGAGAGCCGCTGTGCTGCAATGGAGGAAAGGGGCTTGGAGGGTTTTTTGGGTGGCAGGAGTGGAAGGTGGCATCCTCCGGGACCGGGCTTCGTCGTTGGGACCCCACGATGGGGAACTGCCAGACGTGTGGGGCTGCGGC